TTCTTTTCCATAATGTAAACATACAGTAAATTAAAACAATTACTCAAACCCACCCGCTTGCCACAAAAAGGTGTTTACTGGCATAAAAACACTAGGTTCCCCCCTTTTGTTCAAAATGTTGAAAAAAATTGTATTCAGTGGTGTTTGACATATACATTTACTTTGCTCCATTGCCACACGTGTGACTCAAAACATTCATGTAAAAGCATTTTCCCCACTGAAATGAACAGAAATGCCATTAATCCATTCCATTAAGTGTCGCAAACAGTTTTTTTTTATTCCACATTCTGAATTTCTTCACAAGAAAAACTGTGCAGACATCTTTGCAACCTTTAACGAATCCTGATGGAAAAAAAACAATCGGTCGCTGCTCAGTGAGATATTGATTTTAGCCACCAAAATTATCTCCAGCGATAATTTGCCACAAAAACACCCTCTCTTTACTTTTCTGAAGCTATTTCCCCACTCGCATTAGCGATAAGATGCATTAACGTGTTCATGATAGACCCAAGATGCTGTCCGTATAATAACCAACTTGCATTGGTCCAGTCTGCAGGGTTGAGTGTGACATAAAGGGTTAACATTTGTCTGCACTAGACTGGCCTTGAGTGAGGAAGGAATGTCCTTGTCAGAAAGAAAGAGACGGAAGAGGAGGAGGTCACATTTGACTGTAGAGCAGCCACAATGAGACGGTTTTGTTTCAATACAAAATAGGATCCATTTCTCTCTCCTCAAATATGCTATTTTTCTTATTGGAACTTTTTAAATGACATTTTTCCACAAAATGTATTCTGCCACCACCACCCCCACCACCAAAAAAAAACCCCTAAACGTCCTAAAATATATCTTCCTGCCAAACAAAGCACACAATTATACCAACTTGCCACAAAAGGAGAATCAATTTCCTAAAAATCATTCTGCCATTTAAAAAAAAAAATCCGATTTGATTTTTTTTTTTTTTTACTCTCCAACAATATTTTTTTCTGGAAACTATTGGAGAAAACTATAGTAAAGCTAAAACGGGTTTTCTTTCTGGAAAATGTGCACATTTTTTTGCACATTTTCATATTTTTTTTCTGAAATACATTTCTTTGATGAATACAACAGTGTCTATATAATTTTTCCATCTGGGAAAAAAACCCTGGAATTTTACCCCCCCTGGTGAAACAATAGATTTATGACAAATATTCAACTTCCGGTGCATTCTCCTCGTTGACACTATAAAATGGAGGGATGGACAAAAATGGGTGGATTTTACTGCTTAACTCATATAACACAAACAGAATATTAATCAGAATACTATGTTTAGACTAGTAAGACTGCATAGAACAGGGGTGTCCAAACTCGGTCGTCAGGGGCTGTTGTCCTACTTGTTTTCCATTTCTCTCTGCTGAAACACACCTGATTCAAAGGATCAGCCCGTCAGCAAGCTCTGAAGAGGCAAGATCATGATCCTGATCATTTGAATCAGATGTGTTGCAGCAGGGAGAGATGAAAAATGGGCAGGACATCGGCCCTTGAAGACCGAGTTTGGACACCCATGCATAGAACTTATTATTGTTGACTTCCCCAGCGGACAAGTGGTAAGTGTGTTGACTTCACAGCGCAGAGGTCGTGGGTTGAACCCCAGCTCCAGCCTTCCTGTGTGGAGTTTGCATGTTACCCCCGTTCCTGCGTGGGTTTTCTCCAAAATGGAACACTCTAAACTGTCCCTAGGTGTGTGTGTGAGCGCAGATGGTTCTTCGTCGCTATGTGCCCTGCGATTGGCTGGCAACCGGTTCAGGGTGTCCCCCGCCTACTGCCCGAAGATGGCCGGGATGTGCTCCAGCACCCCCTGCGATCCTTGTGAGAATAAAGCGGCTCAGAAAATGGATGGATGGATTCAGGGTTAACTTCCTCTTTAAAAAAAAAAACATGACCTCTTTCCAAGAGTGTAGGGCATTTTTTTTTCCTTGAAAAAGTGTTCTTTTTCCCTTTCAACATGTACATTTTTACATCAAGAAAATATGACTTTTTATTTTATGTGACATTATTGTTTTTTTTAGCACAAAACAAAAACCAATTGCCTAAAATGCTGTACAGTATTTAATCACAGAAAAAACTAAAGTTGGTCCCAAAAAAAAAAAAAATGGTTCGCCATAAAATGTCCATTTCCTTTGAAATGCTAACTTTTGTCTAAGGAGAAACAAAAATAGATCGCTACCAAATTGCATATTGTTCACCAGATTGCTTTTGGTTCTTACAACCAGAATAAATGTTATTCCCTTTCACATCAGCTGTGCACCATGTTTCACCTTGCATCTGACAGCCAGTGACATCACACATCGACCATCGACACTCTTCCTACCTCTTCCTGCTGCTGTGACTTTAACATGACGTTTGTGGTGACGCACGGACACTGCTGCTGAATAGGGCAGTGTAATTATGGATCCTGTGTGCGTGTGTGTGTGTGTGCGTGTGTGTGTGTGTGTGTGTGTGTGTGTGTGTGTGTGTGTGTGTGTGTGTGTGTGTGTGTGTGAGAGAGAGAGAGAGAGGGAGAGAGAGAGAGAGAGAGAGAGCGAGAGAGAGAGAGAGAGACAGTACAAGATGTGTGTCCATGGCTCTAATTAAAAGGTTGTCACAACAAGAGAATATTGCAAGACGTCGTGTCCTTCCTGTTGAGTAGTGACTGCTACTCCAAGCATAATGAAGTATGGCCGTCCATCACATAGGGCCTCGGTGATAACACTTTGCAATTATTGTGCCAAATGAAGTGGCGCCGGCAGCTGCATCGCACACACATGTATGTCCCGTCATGTGTTACTATTCCTGCAAACAAGTCACCCTTCACATCTCTGCGCTTCATTTAGCATTGATTGTGTTTGAATTGGTGTGATGCCTGTCTTTACACTTCAAAGTGCGGGCATGACCCATAAGGGCAGTTTTCTCCTGCCCATATCATGAGGTACACTGGTGAGAGAGATTTTTTTTTTAAATATCTGTAATTCATGCATGTAGGCTATTTTTAAAAAATGATTGCTCCCCCACCAGTGATATTAAGTATTTTAGATGCATGGAATTATGTAATAATTTAAATGTATATTAATTTGGATTTTATTGGTGCTGTTTGCAATTGTTTGTAAGTCCATTTAAATGATGAAAACAGATTATGGCAATAAAGATTTTCTAATTATTTTATTTGAATTTTTAATTTTGCTTTGTAAATTTTCCTCCATATTAGTATTTACATTTTTTTTTTTGCAGTACTTTTCAATAATTTTTTTGATGAATCATCCATCCACCCATCCATCCATTTTCTGATCCGCTTTATCCTCACAAGGGTCGCAGGGGGTGCTGGAACCTATCCTCGCTGTCTTCGGGCAGTAGGCGGGGGACACCCTGAACCGGTTGCCAGCCAATCGCAGGGCACACAGATATTTTTGATGAATCATTAATGACAAATATTATTGATTATTTAAATAGAAATTGTCATAATTTAATATTTTTATGAAAACATAAATAGCATTTGTATTTGTTTCTTTTTTAATTCTGTTGGTTTAATGGAATATTATGGAGTACCTATGATGTAATCCATCCATCCATCCATTTTTCTAATCCATTTATCCTCACAAGGGTGGCGGGCGTGCTGGAGCCTATCCCTGCTACGGTGTAATCATCGATTTAAAAATATAACACTAGATGACATGTTGCATATGTTGCAATTTATGAAATCTGTGTTTTAGCCTATTTTGTGATATCTTGAATTGCTTTTTAAAATACATTTTAAATCTTCATTTTAATTTTGAATGGCTGTAGAAAATGATATTGTTTTCAGAAAAGATTTAGTTGCACTGTTTTCATATACCGGTAATTATAATTTAACTATTATGTCTGGATGTTATTCTAGGTATCCAATGGTGTGTTGTGCTTGGTGATGGCATGGCCTTGTATGAGGGAAGGTGAACTCGTTGGCTCAATGTTTGACAATTACTGTGAAATGATGTGACACTGCCCTCTTGTGGTTGCTGATGACAGCTCAGGAGGTGGAACGGAAGCGACCCGAGTGGGATGAGGGTGGAGCAGATGAATGGAGAAAGGTGCGTTTAAATCCTCCTGTGCTGCTAGTGTTTGAAGTAGAACACAAATATGATGGAGATGATTGGGAGGCACAAAAGCGGAAAACGCAACAGAGCCTTTGAGGCCCAGGTAGGAACACTGTTACACTTTTTTTCTCAAAACTATGATAGTGTCTTCTCAAAAATCTATACTATTGGTCTGGATTGAAAATACATGATTTTTCCTTGAAAATGTTTTGTTTGTCTTATATTTGCAGCCGATTTTCGGGAAAAGAAGATTTCCGAACTGTATCTCGTAAATATATGTCAGATTTTTTGCAAAATATGTACAACTTTTATTGGCTTCTCTTAAAATGCATTTTTTTCTTCCCCCTGAAAATATACGGATATTTCCTTCTTATCACTTTTTTTTTTTTTTTTTTTACTATTTTCACAAAATATTACTTTTCTCCTCAAATGTACAACTTTTTGCCCAGTCTTCTTGCTCGTGTGACCGACAGGATAGTTTTGATGACATTCATTTGCCTCGAGTGTCAACACGCAAGCCAAAACCTTGTGCAAACAAAGATCGTTTCAGGTTTTTAACGCATTGTCCTGAGGCTGTGTGTGTGTGTGTGTGTGTGTGTGTGTGTGTGTGTGTGTGTGTGTGTGTGTGTGTGCGCTACAGGAGGAAGTGTACGTCGACATGGACTCCAACACTGATGAAGATGCTGAGAAAAATTCAAACCGACACAACTACAGTTTGTGGGTCCTTTTTTTTCAACGTTACATACTCACTTTATTAGTTACACCATCATCAGCCAGTCGCTCACAACACTTTTGACTTCATCGTCACTTTCGAACTTCGTGCCAACTACTGTGAACTGCTGAGCCAGGTCAAGGCAGTCATTAAGAACAAACGCAGGAGTCATCAGTCAGAAGGAGTCATCTTGCATCATGACAACCTCACACATCAGGCCAAACGGTGCAGACCATCAATGAGCTGGGCTGGGAACTCCTATCCCAGCTGTCTTCGGGCAGTAGGCGAGGTGCACCCCGAACTGATTGCCAGCCAATCACAGGGCACACCTAGACGAACGACCATCCGTGCTCACACTCGCACCTAGGGACGATTTAGACTTTAGAGTGTTCCATGACCATGCATGTTTTTGGATTGTGGGGGGAAATTGGAGTATACCCGAAGAAAACCCACGCAGGCACGGGGAGAACATGCAAACTCCACACAGGAAGCCGTAATCAAACCCTGGACCTCTCATTGTGAGGCCGGTGTGTTTACCAATCGACTCCTGTGCTGCCCCTATCTTTATTTACTTCTGCATAAATTGCGGGATTAATTAATCGAGACTCGGGACTAATGCCTGCACTAATCTCGAAAGCATCCAGCGGCACCATGTCTATTTATTTATTTATTTATTTATTTATTTTTAAGGAAAACGACAAAAAAAAAAAACCTCTTCAAGAAAAGATGCAACTCTTGGAAAATTTGAGTTAGATTTAGCAAAATTAAAGGTTAATACTTTGATCCAAACACACATACAGAACACAATTCAGTTGGTATTATATACACATTTATTTTTTTAATCTTCATGGGAATTTGAGCATGTACAACAAAAATAAAACTATTCAGAAAGGAGTAGCACAGAATAAGAACATAATTAGATAAAAGAGAGTACAATAATAAAACAAAACCAAAAAAATGAGCAAATTCAACTTGTATCTCAAGGCATCACTGTACATATTTAAAAATGATAAATTATACATTTATCTTTTTTTTTCTCTTTTGATGTCATTAGATATGGTGTGCCTAATATTGTGACCTTGAATTCCGTTTTTAACTTATTTTTTATTCTCTCTTGGTTTGTGTAGACTGCTGATGAGGAAAGTAGCACTACTGAAACACTTTTGCGTCCAACACCGAGACACTTTGGAACTGCTTCTAAAGTTGCTTGTCGTCGCATGTGAGTGATCTCTGTAAAAATATTACTTGTGACTCTGAAATGATGTTAACTCTGTTTTAAAAGTAACTAGCATAAAACGATAGGGTGGCCCGAGGGGCCTTGGATCTCTCAAGGTACACACTAAATGCTTGCTTGTTTCATCAGCCCAAGTGTTCACAATACCTGTGTTAATGTTTGAGCTTGCCTCCTAGCTATATGGGGTTTGTTTCAATATCTTACCGGCTAATTTGCCAGGCAGTTAGCTTAGTAGTTAGCCAGGCAGTTGTTTTTTTTTTTTGTTTTTGTAATGTGAATGAATTGACATGTACAGTATATGTAATTCATGCTAGCTCACACTGTACTAACGACGTTAGCAAAGCCTCACATATGCTCGTTATCACACAAAAATAGCAATATTTCATTAAAATTAATTAGAACAGCCACAAATAGATTTTGCCGCCATCTGTGCGCGCTCGCTTTGGCTTTTAGCTTTTATTTTAGTTAGATACAGAATGATAAAATCACAGACACCCATTCCATAACTTATTGATACCTACAGGTATGTCTAAATATTTTGTATCACATTTTTATTGAAGATTCTTTGGTATTGCATAATACATGCTTTGAGAGACCAAACCTGGCAAATATTTTATCGGGAACGGTTATATAGGTATCGGTAATGTAATGCAATTGAAATTCTTGGGGATTGTATTGTAATTTATTTGAATTAATTTTGCATATTGGTTAATATAATCAAGCATTTGGCAAGATTACTGACCAACAAATATGTATGGGATTTGAAATTGTTGTTATTTGACCCAAAAATGTTAGTTTATGTGACCAAACAATTTGGGTAAAATATTTAACTCGCCTGTTGAGCTAAATCAACCAACCCATCCTGCTGGGTCAGGTTAACTACTCTTAGGATGGTGCTATAATAATCCAGCGGTTGGATTAAAACTAAACCAATTTGGGTTGTTTTTGACCCTTTTTTTTTTTTTTTTTGTGGTCCTTCTGTAAGAAAGCAAGTATTAGCTGATCATGTGTTCCAGGTTGGGTTGCCGCAGTGATCGTGGCCTGCGTGCTGAACTTCCGTCGGGCTCTCGAGATGCTGGTCATCTCCTTAATGGTGCTCTTCTTCGTCGTCTGGGATTGGATGATGGGGCGTTATGGCGACCGGATATGGGAGGGGCTGCTTCCTGTCAGGGAGCTGGTCAGCAGACACTGGATTCGGATCAGATGGTGAGAAATGACATCAGAGAAATGTTGACTGTAGTACCAAGCAGATGAGAAAAATCAAATTCGATTCTTCAGGAGATGGTGCTGTGTGGAGAAAAATCTAACAGGGTAGTGATTCATTTGGTAAATTCATTCCTTCCAACTGTTGTTTTTGAAGTGACCCCACGTGTCTTTGAAGACCTTACCTGTCCTTTTTCTGCCACGTGGTGCAATGGATGCATTTGACCAGGTTGTAAATGGCATCAATCTTGAGTGGTAGAATGTAAAATAAATAATAATAATATGTGTGTGTGTGTGTGTGTGTGTGTGTGTGTGTGTGTGCGTGCGTGCGTGCGTGCGTGTGTGCGTGTGTGCGCGTGTGTGTGTGTGTGTGTGTGTGTACGTGCGTGTGTGTGTGTGTGTGTGTGTCCATCCATTAGATGTGGTACCAAGTGGGCAGTACGTGGTTGACACACTGGACCAGTTGCCAGTCAAATATAGTATAATAACCGTTGTTAATATAGTAATTTCTTTTTTTACTTTTTTTTCTTCTTCTTTTTATTCAATTTTTGTATACATTGGAACTATTTTTCCACTTTTTTCCTCAAAATATTACTCTTGACTTGAAAATATGACTTGAAAACATACCGGTAAATGGAATTTTGAATAAAAAAAAAGACATTTCTAAAAACGTATTCTTAAAAATATATAATTATTTCTCAAATATTTATCTTTTTTCTAAATTGACACATTCTTTTCTTCAAAATAATAAATACCTGTGTTCTTGAGACGTGCAACTTGTTTTCTGAGAAATACAGTGGCGGCTTGAGAAAACAGGGACTTGACCTACGAGTTTTTCCAGATACTGTATGGGTCTTCGTTTGGCTAATTTTTGGTTTCAACCTACAAGCACAAATTTGAGATCCAACTCCTCCGGTGGCAATGAACACAACCCACTTAACATTCACAACAAACAGCAGTTTGGTAGATGTTTAATGCTAAAAATAATTTTAATAGAACCACATAGCTTAACCGTTAAGTCCACTAGCTTAAAGCTAATGCTAACACAGAATGGGAAACACCATAGACATAAAAAGCATTAATGTGGCCGTGTTCTAACCCTTCAAGTAACAGCAGTGTACACATAGCATAGAGTAGGTCAAACAAACGTGTTCTCTAGCCCTTCTCTTGATTTACATGGTTGTGTATGATCCAGTTGTTTGATTTTTGCGGCTCTCCTCTGCAGGCTGATTTACGCGTGTGTGCTGGTGGGCCTTGTGTGCTGGCTGGTACTGGACACAGCCAAACGAGGAGAAAGACAACTTATGTCTTTCTTTGGTTTGCTGCTCCTCATCTTTCTCATGATGCTTTTCTCCAAGCATCCTTTCAATGTAATTCCTCCACGTGCACTCACACACACACACACACACACACACACACACACACACACACGCCAGGATTGTCCCTGGGCTCTGCACCCCTCACACACACACACACACACACACACACAGAATGCTACTGCTTGAGTTCTTACCCATACCAGAAAACAGGATGAGATTTAAGTGAATTCTTTGATGTGGAATTCATTCAGACAATCCCGGATGTCGGAATAATGAAGGAAAATAATTAAGGAACTTCTGGACCCAGCTTTCTTTGATTTAGTCCGGTTTTATTTTAGTATCAAGGCTACCTCATAGGGTCTGCAAAACAGAAACTCGGAAAGATGTTATCAACAATCAACATACATTTTCATATTGAATAAAAGGCATTTTACAGAAGAAGAAGTCATCGTTGCCTTCTCAATAAAAATGAAATTAATATATAATAGGTTTGATTATACTCCGAAAAATTTAAATTGCACTTGCAAAATGACAACAACAAAAAATGAATGTAGCCCCCTCTAGATCTAAGTGAGTCAAATAAACATATTGTCTGAATGTGTTTTAGTGGTCCTGGCAAGTGTTGTTCTGTGGACTTGGGCTGCAGTTTGCCTTTGGGCTTCTTGTTCTCAGGACCTCCTTTGGCTTTAAAGCACTGAACTGGCTCGGCCAACGTGTTGAGGTATACACACACACACACACACACACACACACACACACACACACACACACACACACACACACACACACACACACACACACACACACACACACATGCACGCACGCACACACACACACGCCTGTGGTTCTTTGTGTAACCTAATACAGTTTAACAGGTTTAGTGAACAAGTATAAAACAGGTGTTGTGGAACCATGTCATCACAGTCTGTGGCTATTCAAAGACGAAGCAAGACCACAGACCTCCCTCAAGGCTTCTTTTTTTAATGTAGAAGATAGCAAAATCAGATGAGTACAATTAGCAAAAAGCACTTTGCTGAAACTAAAATAAACACTCATATTTGTTTGTATGTACCGTTTATTTATCCAAAATATTTTTCTTTGCTTTACAAAGGAACAGGCCTGGGCCATCCCGCTCAATGCTCAGTGGTTTGCCTCCGGGGGAACTTCCTGAGCTGGGAAACCAAAAAATAATCATTGAGTGGCCACTTCGGCCAAGGTGCGGGCTTCCTGCACAGAGCTGCGTGTGATTTTATCATTTGTCCACGTATGCCTCCGGGCAACTCCCTGAATTGGATACCTGAAAAATCTGCACCTCGAGCAGCCTCCTTGCCCACCTACGAGCGAGCAGGCCAGTACCTCCAGCTTTCACATCCAGTGTGCCTGCTCAACAGTGAGGTTGAGACATATCGCGATCCACCCTGCCACAAAGCCCGCCGCCTCATCAGCATCCCCTCCTTGCCCACCCGCGGCAACGGAACAGGATGCCCCATGAGCCTTCTTAGCACATACAGCCCTGGCACGTCATCAAAATTTCTAACTTTCCAAGCCTTTGTATGATTGCAAGGGCTCACCATTGTAGTTCTCCCCATCTGCCTTCACGGCAGTTGTAAAAAGCACTCCTGGCGCTTGTTAGGAATGTGTAATATTCAACCTGTTCAGCTTGCACACGTCATTTTGTCCTTTTCATCAAAGTGTGATGTGAATTCACTTGGACAGAATGTTGACTGATTAACACTCATTTTATCAATTTTCTCCATATTAAATCCTTCACCTGCCATCGCTATTATTCTGCCAGCATGGCTGCGTAAACAAATGCATATGGTGATCAGTCACGTGACATCCGGTCCGTATCGGACGCAAAGGATTTGTGATAACATTTTGAAATCATTATTAATAGATCCACTGCCAAAGGAGTCGGTAAAAACGCCTACCTCTTGCCACCATGTAAAATCGCCTGTGGTGTTTCCAAACTTTTGACTGGTACTGTACATTTTCAGGTTCATTCGAGTTTGTGGCCGCATGAACGTGAGACAAAATGTCCTTTCTGCAGATCTTTATATCCTACACAGATGTTGGTTCTCGTTTTGTCTTTGGAGAAAAACACGAGGTGCACTTCTTCATCTTCAAGGTAAGTGCATCATGACGTTTTGTCATCCGAGGTGATAAAAGTCATGTTGTGATGTTTTGTACGCAGGTGATGCCGATCTTGGTTTTTCTGAGCGCTGTCATTTCTATGCTCTACCACCTGGGCTTCATGCAGTGGCTTGTTTGCAAGGTGAGAAAGCAGTAGTACTGGACAATGAGTTTGAGGAAGAAAGCACAGTACGCGACCAACACCCAAGATTGTTTCCTAGTTTGCAAGGTGAGAAAGCAGTAGCACTGGACAATGAGCACAGTACGCGACCAACACCCAAGATTGTTTCCTGTCGACAGATTGGCTTCATCATGCAGGTTACCATGGGAACGTCTCCGGTCGAATCGATGGCCGCAGCTGCAAATATCTTCTTGGGGCAGGTGTGTTGCCATGACAACAATACGCCACCACCAAATCCCCACCTCCTCCTTCTCCTCCTCACGTCAAATCGTTGTTTCAGACAGAGACCCCCCTCTTGATTCGACCCTACATCCATGAGCTCACCCTGTCCGAGATCCACGCCGTGATGACGGGAGGCTTCGCCAGCATCGCCGGCACCCTCTTGGGAGTTTTCATCTCCTTCGGGGTGAGGAAGATCATGGAACGCACACATGAGGGGAAAAAAAACACATTAAAAACAACAATGTGCTAATGGAAGACATCGGTCTTATGAGTGGACTTGATTTCTTCAGCAGGACACTCGCTAGATTGGTCATTCCAGAATCATTTTCTTGACTCCCAATGGAATTTTAACAATTCATGCGCAAAATACAGAAACATGCACTTGTTGCGTAAATGAGAGTTTTCCGAAGATAAAATGTAACTGTTGTAAAAGATTCCTAAATATCATTCAAAATATAAATTAGCTCTTGAGCTAAGTGGAATTTATCTTAATTGTAGTTGATTTCTGAGTCATATTTTTATTTTTTTTACCTTAAACATCTCATAACACTGTCAAACCTCTACTAAAATCAGCTATGCCCTTAGTTAAACGGTTCATTCAATTCTATACCCTGGAATGAAATTATTAATAAATATAAAATATATAATATCATCAGTATGTGGTTCAGTTTTCGGAAATTTTCTGGTTTCTGAAAAATAAACTGAAAAAATACATAGGGCATCATGAAGGTGAGGATATTTATGATAACTAATATAGAATCTTTAAAAAAAAAAAAAACATGTTTACTAAGTGCTTTGACAGAAAATAATTCATGAAACAAAATAACGATTACAATGCTCATATTTCATCCAAATCCTGAAATGTCGATAATGATGTATTAGGTGTTTCATCATTATATTTATTAGTGCTGTATCAACATTTCGATTGCTGGGTTGTGGAGGTTTATTTCGTCATCATTTCCTTGTTTCTGCAAGGTGGAAGCTACGCACTTGATGACCGCATCGTTGATGTCTGCTCCCGCCTCGCTGGCCATCTCGAAAATGTTCTGGCCAGAAACAGAGACGCCGAGGACAAAATCAATTGACGTCAAAATCGAAGGGTATATCCTCCTTTTTTTCTACGCTCCATGAGCCTTTGCGTGAAATAGGTGCATGACCTCCGGTATAGCAAAACCGTCCTTTTCTTTAGATAGAACCTCTTTGTGCAAGTCCACTTGCTATGACAGTTAAAGACTTTAAGAACGTGGGAACGCCACTTGAACGTTGTTAACCTTCCAAACACAATCTCAAAGCAGATGTAGGAACCAGCCAAACTACTTCCCAACATGTGACCGTGACCGGGATGCTTCATGTAAACAAGCCTCAGGTCACTCAATACCATCTAATTTATTTATTAGTTATTTTTTTAACATTTATGGGACATCTCTACTTATGTCAATTTCAACTCCTGCAAATATTAGAACAATTGCCCAAATATTTGGAATTTTTATGAGCATATCCTCCTCTCCATAACTTGGGCTTAACTTCTCTTTTGCCCAAAATAAAAAAGATCTTTTAACCGTTGAGATGTATCATTTTAACATTGTTCCTCCTTGACACTGATTATTACTTTCTAATTAGCCTGGGTGTTGGTGCCACCTTGTCATCTTACAAAGAGCAGCAAAAAAAAAAAAAAAAAAAACAGGCGAGTTTTTCAGCAAATAGCTGAAGATAGGGTCCATATAAAAAAAAAAAAAAAAATGAATCATTTCAATGACACCACTGGTAGATGAATGTACCACCCTACTGAATGTGTGGAGTGAGAGGCGAAACAATTACGTGAGACCCTATAACAGTTATAATTCACCTTTCAACAGGTAAGTTGATCTAAAGCCAGATGTGTAACTTTGCTGCTGTGAATTGGGAATTTCTCCATTGCGAGATTAATAAAGGTTTTCTTATCTTATCTTATCTTAAATTCAGACAAAGCTAACATGATCTTTGAAAAACTGCAATCAAATGTAAATAGCTGAGAGAAGGATCCACAGGGGAATAAAAGTACGAATACATGAATGTGTGAGTAGCCAATGACAAATGGGTGGGGGGGTCTTTTTGTCTTTTGAAATATTCACTGTTTCCTTCAGGGAATGTACCAACATGCTGGAGGCAGCGTCGCAAGGGGCCATCTTTGCAGTGAGTCTGGTGGCCAATGTGGTGGTCAACCTTTTGTCCTTCTTGGCTCTGGTGGCTTTCTTCGACGCCACCATCTCCTGGCTGGGGGGCATGTTTGACTACCCGCAGCTCAGCTTCTCGGTAAAGGACGCGCACAAAATGTGTTCAAATGACCGTATGTACCGTATAGTCCATGTCAAATCAAGTCAAACTTTTCGCCATCTTCCAGCTGATGTGCTCGTATATCTTCATGCCCTTGGCGTTCATTATGGGAGTTTCGTGGGAGGACAGCTTCGTGGTGGCCGAGTTGGTGGGCACTAAGACCTTCCTTAATGAGTTTGTGGCCTATCAGAAGCTGTCGGTGTTGATCAAGAAGCGCAAGGCTGGCGGGCCGGAGTACATCAACAACGTAAAACAATACATTTCTGTAAGGGTGGCTTTTCTTTTTTTTTTTTTTTGCTCTCTGGATACCATAACCCTCACCCAGCTCATTTTAACCCCCATCCTCGCCCCCAAATCTAACCAAACCCTCCCACTGTCAAATCCTACATTTAACCCATACTGTATCTCATTGTCAAATACTAAAAACCAACATAACTAACTCAGTGGTCCCCAACCTTTCTTGCGTCACGGAGCAGTTTAGACAGTTACATGCTTTTCGCGGACAGACAAACATTCGCTGATGGGTGGGATGCAGTACCGGTAATTTTTTTTTTTTTAATTGCTTTTAAATTGCCAGTTTTAAAGCACTGGAACTGTCAGCAAACATAATTATAGAGAAATTCAACATTTTATTGACATCCATTTTTCTCATTCATTTCAAACAATTTTATTCAACAATACAACAAATGTAAAATAGTAGAAAATGAAAGTGAACTACTAAAAAAATGGACTCCTGAGAAAGAATATGCCTTCAAATCTTTTTATGATTCTACATACGGCGTGAACATCATTGCAACTTGCAACGGTGTATGATCAAAAGATGACACGATAGCTCCTTTGTATTTTAAGTTATGATTCTACATACAGCGTGAACATCATTGCAACTTGCAACAGTGTATGATCAAAAGATGACACGATAGCTCCTTTGTCCGGTGGTTGCCGGCTAATTGTTAGCAGTTTAACTGCTAATATTTATGCGGGCAGGCCATACAAATTCAGCTCACACTTTCATGGTTGTTACATTTGTATACCGCCTGAAGGTAATTGACGGTTGATCAAAATACTTACAAAGTTCTACGACAAAAAGAGAGAGACTATGAAAGATTGAAAGGTCTAGAACACAACACTTGAAGCACAACAGCTAGCAAGGACAATAAACCAACGAGAGCAGAGACAGTCCTTAAATACATGGCGAGGCTTGAAGGGGAAACGTGGAACAGGTGCGCCGGCTGGAGGCAAACACCCTTCACTCCAGCTGGAGTTGATACACAATCAAAACAGACAGAACACGACCATGATGGTTTTCTCTTTCACAGGTCCACTCTGAAACCATTGCCACATACGCCCTGTGCGGCTTTTCCAACTTGGCCTCGCTAGGCATGTCAATAGCAGCGATAAGTGAGTGCCACTACCACAAATCACTCATTACTTTAAAAAAATAGAAACTATTATCATATTGTTATTGCTGCAGCGTCAATGGCTCCGGAGAGACAAAGCGACATCTCCTCTTGTGGCATCCGATCCCTGATCGCAGGCAGCGTTTCCTGTTTTGTGACGGCCTGTGTCGCAGGTGACTGCCTTTGCTTGATTCATAGTTCACACTTTCCTAACAATTAATATCATTTATGATTCCACACATGTCAACCGAGGCTTCTTGGTAAGTGGGAAACAAACTGTTGGGTATGCGCCATCACTTCCTACAGTCAGATTTGAATCACCCTATTGGGGACACGTTTGCATGAATATTCACACGCATATGTCATATTAATATGACTAGACTGAAGATATGAATAAATCTGGGCTCCATTTGTCCCTTCACTTAGTGTCTGTTCTTTGAATTAATTAGTTATCATTACTTAGAATTAGTTATTGTGTCAGTTGTTTTGAAGATAACAGCCAATAACTGCAATGAGTGAACAATATTCCGATCAAATAAAACATAGTTATGAAAATAATAAAGATAAGAAAACATTTCTTTCTTCAAATTACAAATGAATTAGTGCTTGTCCGTAATCCACAAAAACAATAATACAGAAAGTTAATTACATTTACTGGTTTGCATATTCAAGTTTAAAGTATATGAACAACAAAAAGGTGCGTCACTCCATCACTGATGAGCCCGTTTTACTGACAAATGACGGGAAATTATAAAAACTCACTCAGCACTGATGGAAGTCGGTTTTCATCTGAACCAAACACCATTCTTTTTTCTTTTCATTAAAATTCAAGAAATTCTGTGCCATCCAGGCCTTGATTTCCCCCAGACAGTTCAAACGTGGCTTTCGGCAGAAAACGCCCTTTTTGCTCAGCAGGACTTTGATTTGACTGTCATCCGCATCTCAGTGGAACGAAATACCATGTTTTCTAAGTATGGAACCTAGGGGCAGCAAACACAGTGGAAACAGCAGGGGACCAAAATAGAACCCTGGGGGACACCTAATGAGAGAGGAGCAGAGTGGGACTCAGAGTAACCAAGGCTCACACAAAAAGTACAGTTTGCCAAATAGGATCTAAACCACTCAAGAGCACTACCACTAATCCCCAACCTGGTTCTGTAAACAACAGAATACTGCATTCTTGAAGTAGGTGGTCTACAACTAGACGTCAGGCTGGATTTTCTGCTCGAGTGTTATATGCTACGGTTCTCATGGGTATTTATTTACATCACGGGCAAACTTGGCTTCACCTTTCCTGCAGTCTTTATTGCCATGGGATTACACGTTTCGCAGCACTTGTTCGTTCATTCCCTGCTTCTAAGCAACCATATCTAAACTCAGCTTCTCAATTTTAGCACGAAGACGTGAGAAACCATTGTTGTTAAAAGACACAGGGGGCAGTACATCCACATTATATGAGCACCGACCCCCCCAGCCCCCAGCACTTTCTTTGAGCTTGCAATCCATTCTGAGAAGTGGTTCATGGCTAAAAGCACAAGCTTATGTCGCACCGCTGTCTTCATTTTAATCACTCAAAATTCTAACAACTCATCTTCCTTGGTAATTTTATTATCGGCAGTGGTGTAAAACTCAGGTTTAGGTTTCACCAGAGAAGCAGACTCTCAACCCGTCTGCCACTCACGACCAGACGCCATCTTGTTAGAAATTTACATGTGTTATTTTTTTTCGTATGCATGTATCAAAATGATTGATACATGTATACATTATTCTACACAGCAGTATACTAAACTACTGTATTTAATGATAAACCATTCATTGTTCGATTTTCTTTCTTCACCAATTGGCTGGAAGAGATCACATGGCTGTATTGTCTTAGTGGCGTCCGTTTTGTCTCAATATGGTTCTACTCCTATAAAGTACATATATGAGCTGTGTGTGTGCGCTTGCAGGCACACTGTACATCCCTGAACTGGAGTGCCCACACTACCTCAGCAGCACATTCAACAGCACTAATGTGACAGTAGCAACACAACTGCTCACCTGCTGCACACAACTTTACAATAGGTATGGAATGCGTGGTTACGCTACATTGCCAATTTTTTACTCTATATCAATACATATTCTCTTTGGTCATCTATCATAAGTGGATGTGTGTGTTTGATTGTCAGCGTGAAGGTGCATGAGCCATGGAACTACACCTTGAAGGAGTTCAGTGTGAGCAGTTTGCAAGGGTGCTGCTTGCTCACGCCATCTTTGTCACACTTCAACTGTAGCTGGCTGATTTGATGCTGCTTTGACGGTCCCAACCAACGGGGGCATTGAACGCTGGAGAAAAATGGGAAGACTTTCCGAGAGGGCCAAGTACTGTATGTAGGCGGCCTGTAGGAGCCCCGATCGTCATACCAGCCCATAACATAATCATGACCCATAATGTCGTACATTTGCACTTTTTAAAAAAATGTTATCGGCCTATAATGTAATAACTGACCAATAACGTAATAAAAGCCCTAAACCTATAGCATAGTAACTTTTGGTCAATAAGTCAATAAGGTAACACCATATTACATTATTGGCTGGTTATTAGATTGTTGGTCTGATTTTATTTGTGTGTGTGTGTTCCCTGCCTTCGATTCCTTCCACCATTTAAGTTCCAATTTCAATAACTTAAAAACAATTACTTATAGTTAACCCAGCCGCTGGGGGGCAGTGCCCTCCCCTGGGGGTGCACTGTTCCCCAGTGCCGGTCCCAAGCCCGGAGAAATGGGGAGGGTTGCGTCAGGAATGGCATCCGGCGTAAAACTTTTGCCAAGACGACCATGCGAGTTGGTAGGACGGTTTACAGGGGCGGATGGAAATTACTGACTCGCTGTGGCGACCCCTGGATAGGGACGTGCCGAAAGGAGAAGAAGAAAGAAGAAAAACAATTACTTATAGTTAAGGGCCCCTGTGAATTCACTTCCCCTTTGCCAAAATAATTATAGTACTGTATATGCATCCACATAGTCATCAACATAGTTTTCGTTTCAGAAAATGTGTCAGCAACAACTGGGGGAGGGGGCTCATGAGGTATGTACCAGATTTTGGTACTACGCCTCTGCCAACCAATCAAGTGAAACACTCATCGAAAAACGTCTCGGCTTTTCATTGAGCTGAGGTACAGCTACAGTCCCCAATCGGTTACAATAAATGCATGACAATGTATTATGTATTACCCCCGCCCCCCCAAACACACACGCACGCGCGCGCGCGCGCCAAGTAAGATCATAGCCTTGGAGTTGACGAAGTTGAGTTTTGCCAAAGAACATACGTGACCATTGGGTGTCGCTGTTGTCCTTTCTGAAAGAGTCTCACCATGACACAAGGGCCTGCTTGACATAAGTTTCACTTCACGTCACGGAGGACATTTTTCATTGAGACGTGAGCCGGATAAAATATGGCACCATTCAATGCTCTCACACACACACAGATGGTCTAGAACACATAAAAAGATAAATGGACAAATAAACATAGATGGAAAAGGTAGAGGGAAAGAGCAAATATGGGATTTTAGACTCCTGTAGATTCTGTGTGGTTGCAAATTTTAATTTTAAGATAGCTTCATGTGGCCCTAAGAGTATTTCTGATGCGGATTTCCAAAGTGTTTTTAGTTCTTTTTTAAAATCTGACAACTTAATCTTTTTAAGGACGTTGTTTTAACAGTGATGAACTGCAAATAAACTTTTAAGGAGACCAATAACGAATAACTTCCCCATCATCATTCCAAGCAACGCCACGGACTAAACCAATGACTCCTGCACCTGCACGTGATATTGTCGTCACACGAAGAATATATAACACACACAGTTGTCAGGATATCATCACAAACCAGACATACAAAACAACAGGAAAAAAAAAACAGAATAACCTCATGGTTTAATGCCAGATCAATTAATAAGGCCTTCCTTATCAATGATTTATCAATCACACTCTTAATTGTTTATTTTTAACAGAGACATGGCTGAGCAGAGACACACCATCAGTTTTACTCAAAGCATCACCTCTCAGCAAAAACTTTCCATTTGTAAACAGCACGAGAAATAAGGCAGGGGGTGTAGCAGTTATTTTAAAATCCTCACTTCGGTTTAGAGAGGTACTGATTGGTGCATTGACAACTTTTGAACATCACTGGGCTGTTTTGTGCAGTCCTGCAATTTTCCGCGTGTGTGTAATTACAGGCGTCCTCAGTCCTGTTCATCTTTTATCACAGATTTTTCACAAATCCTGTCCATTATCCATAGAAAACATCGCCAAGTCATTATTTTGTATTTTAACTTGCAAGTCGATAATACGGCAGATACATTTGCAGCTGATTCTTAAAATGTTCCTAACTGTGTGATTTTGAATCAACATTTTTATCCGAAATCAGCAAAGTCTCCAGCCCACCCGCAGCCCTTGTGAGGATAAGCGTTTCAGATGATGGATGGATGAATGGATGTACCATCAACGAACCCTGACGACCTCTGACGTGAATGAGCATTTTGCTACTGTTGCCAACAGTTGCAATTTTTCGCCGCTGAGTGGGATAGGGGCTTTAGCAAAGGTTACTCCTGACATCTTAATTAAAAAAAAAAAAAGATCAGTATTTACTTTGTTTAAACATAAAAAAATCCAAGCTTAGTGAACAGTGCCAATGTGGACATAAACATTTGCCTCAATAATGTTAAGACTGCCTTTATTACTATCAATGTAGAAAGAACTGCTGTAAACACAAAATATGAAATCAGACACCAAAAGGGATATCATTTGGAGTGAGAGAGAAAAAAAGAGAAAGAACGAAAGCCAGACAATCTTTCTAAACATAAAAAAAAAATCCAAGCTTAGTGAACAGTGCCAATGTGGACATAAGAAATTTGCCTCAATAATGTTAAGACTGCCTTTATTACTATCAATGTAGAAAGAACTGCTGTAAACACAAAATATGAAATCAGACACCAAAAGGGATATCATTTGGAGTGAGAGAGAAAAAAAGAGAAAGAACGAAAGCCAGACAATCTTTCTCATTAATATTTATTCAGAAAACGACCTACATCACCACAAGGACATAAGAAATTTGCCTCAATAATGTTAAGACTGCCTTTATTATTATCGATGTAGAAAGAACTGCTGTAAACACAAAATATGAAATCAGACACCAAAAGGGATATAATTTTGAGTGAGAGAGAAAAAAAGAGAAAGAACGAAAGCAATTTTTCTCAATAATATTTATTCAGAAAACGACCTACATCACCACAAGTCACATTCAATCTGTGGCAAAAAGACAGAACACCATATTACAAAAAAACGCATTGTGGTCGACTTGTTCGCACGTCCGCTTCACAGTGCAGAGGTCCAGGGTTTGATTCTGGGCTCCGGCCTTCCTGTGTGGAGTTTGCATGTTCTCCCTGCGCCTGTGTGTGTTTTCTCCGGGTACTCCGGTTTCCTCGCACATTCCATAAACATGCATGGTGGTATTAATATGTCGTTTGACTTCATTTTCAAAAATGCAAGAATGGCTTTCGATAAGTCCATCAACTTTTGTGTGTATACCATTTTACCAATATGACAAAATTAATAACAAAGTTCAAAGCAAAAGGAACGATGAGGCTCTATTAAAACAGAAATAAAACCTCTTTCCGTAATTTGTTGGAGAATGAGCAATTCCAAAAGAAATGAAAAGCATCTTCCGAGGATCCTTCACAAAAGCAAGAAAAAGATCTTTTGAAACAGTGCTGTCCTTTCCTCTGCTCAAAAGGAAGCAGGAACATGACAGGCTGACATCTGATCGATCAAAAAAAAAAAAAAAAAAATGGAGAAATGATCTGAAAGTAAGGGAACAAAATATTATGAATATTCATTCATTCATTTTCCGAACTGCTTTATCCTGACTAGGCTCGCGGGGGGTGCTGGAGCCTATCTCAGCCGTCTTCGGGCAGTAGGCGGAGGACACCCTGAGCCGGTTGCCAGCCAATCGCAGGGCACACAGAAACGAACAACCATTCGCGCTCACACTCACACCTATTGACAATTTGGAGTGTCCAATCAGCCTGCCATGCATGTTTTTGGAATGTGGGAGATAACCGGAGTACCCAGAGAAAGACCCCCGCAGGCCCGGGGAGACAACGTAAACTCCACACAGGGAGGCCGGAGCTGGGATTGAACCCGGTACCTCTGCATTGTGAGGTCGACGTGTTAACCACTCGACCACCGGGCCGCCCACTATTACGAATAAATCAATGCAATTACATTGAACAACTAGCAATATTTAAGTTGTAAATGTAGGTCAGTGCTTCTACCAGTGTCCCGCCCAGCAGGGAAGGCCTTGCTGGCCCTGACCGCTCACCACCGAGTTTGGGAAAGCAAACGGATTGGTGGTATATGAGACATTACAGACATTTATACTTAAACTGTGATGTGTTGTCACAGACCCTCTTCCTTCTGTGCTTTTATTTTGGAGAGTGGACTTCCAGGGACCTTCTGTCTCTCTTTCCTTTAATTATCAGGCCGACCCGGAGGCTGCTCCCTCACCTGCAGCTGATCAGCAATCACCTCCTGCGTATAAGAGCTCTGCTGATCTGCAAGTGGGTGCCAGATTATTCACGCATTATGAGTAGTGATGGGAATCTGAAGCCTCATGACGCAATGAGGCTTTCCATCCAAGGTGTCGTCGTCTCTGCAAGTTGGTGCCAGATTATTCACGCATTATGAGTGGTATCTAGGCCTTTGCTAGTACACTCGCTTTCCGTTTTTGTACTTTTATGGATACTCAATTATTCTTGTTTGTCTTTTTCCAGTGCCTGACTCCCTGCCCAGCCTGGCTGGCTCCGCGTTTTCCTCCACGGACCACTTGACCCTGCCCCTATCCCCCCCCCCCCACCCCCCATTCGCTTTTGGATCCTCTGCTGCCATTACCTTTGCTATCCCTAACAGAAACACCAGAAAACGCAACTGCGGCTCGTTTGTTATTCCCAGAAACAATGTGGCCTCTCTTCCACACACGCATACACATCACATTTTCCTTTTCTCGGAACATACGTGCGTTTAGAGCCGTGTACGGAGGGTACCTGGCTTTCTGCGTGACTTCTCCCCTGCTGTGAGAGCGCGCGCACACACACACACACACACACACACACACACACACACACACACGCATATGCACACGCACGCACACATACACACATATGAACTCTATTTACATTCTGTGGAAGCAAGGCAGGTGGTCCAGGCAGGACACACTTGTATCCGCACTGGGATCAGAGCAACAGAGCATGATTCCCATTTATCTTGAAACCACCCACTTAACCTCCCAAAGGCCTTTTAAAAGCTACCAAATGCATCCGAAGAACACCCTGGTAAACATCCTCTGCAATCACGCACACACGAGTAGACATTTGAGAGGGACTGGCTCGCCCCAAAATGGAGGGTTGTTTTTTTTTGGTTTCTTTTTGCTGCAACAAGTATATACGTTTTAAAGTTCTTCATGTTCCATTCAGCGCGAATT